GAAAGTGAACGCAGGTATGAAAGGGTATTAATCACAGCTGACATGGAGATTATTAGCAGTATGGATCCAGTAACATACAAACCGATTGGAACTACGTTTGCAACTTGATTTGCACCTCATAAAACTTACCTGTTTGCCTGGTGATCCAATTTCTCCTTTCCGCCCCTTAAAAATGAGCAAATGTACAATTATTTATCATCATCGCAACAATGGCAATCATCGCATCTCATATAATATTAAAATTATTGTCCGTCGCAATTTCCTGGCATTTTGTTTGTCAGTCCATGCTTTTATTGCCTTGAGCAAAAAAGTCAAATATATTTACGAAAATTGCAGAGAATTAGCACTGAAGGCAATGCTTCATTTTCCTTAAATAACATCATTATTATATAACACAATAAGCAGCATATTTCAAATGTAAACCCTCGAAGGTTTATTGATTTTCTTCCATGGTCTCTGTAGGACKTCAATCTACGCACCTTTTGACCAATCGGTCCTTCAAGCCCTTGAGGTCCAAGATCACCTGGTGGACCAGWAAGACCAGGTTCTCCAGGCTCACCATCTGTTCCAGGCTGTCCTGGAAATCCCTAAAGATGAAAAAGTAMAAGTAAATGATTAWTAAGTCATAAATAAGYATTGAGTGGGAAGTTTACTTACTGGTCTKCCAGGGTTTCCTTTTTGTCCCTTACTAACGCCTCCCTATTAATTGAATCAAAGTTAGTAGACTGAATTAGCAGGTAAAAAAACATTGAATTATATGAGTAACAAATAAATAATGTAAATAAATATTGGAAACATTTGATGGATATATGAATGAGCGAAGAAATGAATAGATAAATATGGAAAATGGATGAAGAATGTGTAAAGCGCAATGATAAAGATAAGTGGATACATAGTTCACGAACAAATGAACAAAATGTGGATAGGTAAATGAATGGATGGAATTTAAAGTTAATGTTATTAAATAATTAGTAAATTACTGATTAATACTAGCCAATTAATAATTACCAATGAATAGATTAGTTAGTGCATTAATTCATTAATTAATTCGATTAAAATGAAACAATCTTATAGTTTCTTATCATCCAGCTGACTTAAAATCACCTTTTGTTGACCTTGACCAGGAATAAGAACTTCCTAAAARTCAAAGTGATCGAATCATCAAAGAATGAATCAACGAAACCAACCACCACAACATCAACTGAACGATTAATAGACCAAGTAATCAATAAAATCAATCAATCAATCAATCAGTCAATCAATCTGGGAATTGATGAAATTGTTGATGAAACTTTTTCAACCGCTAAAACCGTTAAAACCAACCAATCAATCAATCAATCAATCCACCAATTAATTAATTAAACTGAAGAGCATTCAATCGATCAATCAATCACATTATCAATCATGAATAATTAAACATCCCGGTCATTACCGTAATCAAGCCAGGTGGTCCGGGTGGTCCTGGAGGTCCAGGARGTCCTTGTATGCTTTTACCCTATAAAATTGCACACTTGGATTAGTCAGTGAAATATGAAACGAATAAAATGTAATAAAAAGATCATACCTTTGGTCCGACTGGCCCAATTTCTCCTTTGCTTCCCTAAAAATATAACGAGGCCCTTGATTAACTATTCCAMAGGCAAATATAGATGACGGCCATTAATTCCCAGTTTACTAGGCTCCCTTAGTTATTCATAGGGTTGTAGAGAACGATTGAAACTTAAAGAGGGAGGGGGATTTGTCATTTATATGTACACTTGCGCACCTTTAAACCAGGAGGACCGATGGGCCCTTTGAGCCCTGCTTCACCAGTGCTGCCCTGCAAATAATCAAAAGAAACCAACTTCACAATGTGGCGAAAACMGCTTTTATATATTCCATAATTCCCTGTATGTTACATTAATCTAAATCCCAAAGTATTCAATGGGTTACACAGCTAATAAAACCAATATTAGGACTTTCGCAGCGTATATTCATCTAAAAATACAGGTGAACGAATTTTCTTTGTCTTCTCATATGGTCTTATCAGTCTTTGAGCCAACCGAAATAGAGGGCGCAAGCGGACACTATGCAATAAAACGCAAATCAATGCTAGAACCGCAATACTTATAAACAAATACATGCTAACACTATGTAACAGAAGTGATACGTTTGTGTTAAAAAAGACTCACCTTCTCGCCACTGCTKCCTTTGCTGCCCGGTGGACCTTGCGGTCCCGATGGTCCAGGAATAACCTGAAAGACCCAAGGACGCGATTATATACTGTATTTACTACATTTACTCTTGCTAGCGTGCTGAAGCTTCATACAATAGAGCGGGGAGCTGGCAATGGCGGAGTGTTTAAAGGTAGAGAGGTTCATTGTGTATATATACACTCACCAATCCTGGTTTGCCACGTGGTCCTGTCGCACCAACCTCTCCTTTGCTTCCTTGCTCGCCTTTAATACCCTATCATACAAGAAAAGTTCTGCAATTTGAGTGGATTATTCGAGATAAAAWCGAATGCGCACAATACTATTTGAGAAGACTATATTTATTTATTTATTTACTAGCTTTCTCCTTAAAACAAAAAACATTTTCTAAAAGGTAAAAAAGATATATGATACTGCGATTAACGCTGTAAYATGGTWAATGTAGGACGGCGAGCGGAGGAAGTCGCAGTCTTTGGTGTGAACCAAGTCATATATGTTATTCATMATAGGAGTCGGTTATGTATTGAGTTGCTGTTCCTACCTGACTACCCTTCTGCCCTTCATCACCCTCGTTACCCTAAAAATAAATACAATAACGAATATAAGACAATACAAGTTGACACAAATATGAGACACTTTATTGAGTCTGACCAGTGTTTAAATTTAGTTGTTCAGCTAGTCTAATAACTGAAAAAAACTAATCCATGGGCATCGGTCGCAGGGAGGAGTCTTACCTTTTCACCAGGCGTTCCAGGTTTTCCTGTGAGACCAATCTCTCCCTTTGCGCCCTGTAAGTAGAAACAATGGAATTATATTCAATCACACACTTGTTTCATTTTCTATTTTAATTGGGAAATAAAAAAAATAATTATGAACCCTGAGAACTGTATTTGCATTGTATTGAATAGAATGCCGTGAAGGAGTGGCAGTGTTAAGTCTAGTCTTCTTTTGCAGTCACATGACTAAAAATCCCCAGAGAAAATTAAKARGAAACGATAGGGCGGCCATGATGGAATACATAACAATAGAAACTGATAGAAATCTTCGTGGTTTGATGTACATCAATATAGCTCTCGTCATGTGAAAATCAGGAATTGCATACCAAAGGACATTGTTATGTTATGTTATTATATCTTAGGTATGTTAAAAATAAACCAATCGATGTATTCCAATGGTACCTTAACGAAGGCCACGAGTCCGGGAGGTCCTGGAGGCCCTTGTCGTCCTCGAGGTCCCTGTGTGCCACTAGTACCAGGGCTTCCTTGCGCTCCTTTGATCCCGATTCCTTCATCTCCCTAAACAAGCGAAATAATAAAAGATAAAGAGGTTGAAATTGATATGGCGACCGTTATACTATTATTGACTATAAGGTTAGGACAAAGGACTTTTCTTCTAAWGTTTTGGTAAGTGAATTTATCGACGCCCACTCTTTTTTTTTTCTTCAGAGCCTGGGCGCTTTCTCGTCTTTCAGTTTTCTTCAATGCAATAAGCATTTTTCAAGATGGCGTYATATACTAGGACTACAAGAATGCTTTGACCCGTGTGCCGCCATGCATCYTGAATTATTGTCGACATTATGAAAATTGAAAGTGCGAAGGTATAAATTGTACGAGGTAAATAGTTTCTCTGATGCTTTATGCTAAATGCTATCATAAAGCGCTATGTTCCAGCTATCTTATGTCAACGTATCCAAGTTAATCCTGTGTGATGATCAAAAAAAGAATGTAACCATATATTACATATTTTAAAACGTGTTGAATTATTCTCACCTTTTCTCCTTTGATTCCAGCTAAGCCTCGATCACCCTGAGATAAACACACAAACTCTATCTTAATAGACCACAATGGCATTTATCCCAGAAATCTAAGTCATTATCACGGAAGGGCTTGTTCAAGTCCCTAGCCAGCACAACCTTTTTCTACATACAACTATCGCATGCAACATGTTAAAGACATTTACAATTGTTGTAGGGCAATCACATATTTATTTTAAATCTCTACGACAGTTAGGCTTTGCTTTTTAGGAAAAGCAGTGGCGTTTAATTCGGCCTTTATATGACGGTCAGTACCTTTGCACCCTTTTCCCCTGCAGAACCAATGACACCTTGTTCCCCTTGAATTCCAGGTACACCCTATAGATGATGTAACAAGTACATTAAACGGAAAAGGAGTATAAATATACAAATATAAATGGTAGTAATATAACACATGCTTCTTACCGGTTCTCCCTTCAGTCCGTTTGTACCTGTAGCTCCTTTAATTCCTCTCTCGCCCTAAACACAGATTGATATGTGTCAATCATCTATCATTCCTCAAAAATAGTTTGGAAAAACTCTAACCTTTTCTCCTTTACCTCCACTTTTTCCCTATAGAATAACAAAACGTCAGTGGTAAATAGCCGCCATAAAGCATTTTGATGAGTGAAATATAAAATACTAAGTAATGAGAAATCTATCGCCTTATATTTAAATCTTGCCTTATATTTAAATCATCCCTTCAAACTCCACCCCCGCAGAAAAAAAACAGTGAGGGGAGGGGGGAATGATGTACACAAGCTATATTAGATGGGATAATGGCCTTGCTCCTCGGCTTATTGAAAATGATGACCTCTTGCTGCRCGCTCGGTCGATTATCTTATACCTACACATAGTTATGATCGCCCTACTTTTAAATGCTGGCCATCGACTAAAATACGGACTGGTGAGACTTTGAATCATAACTTGATGATGATGATGACAATGATGATAAATCTTTCTAAATACTCTACGCGGTTATTATTTATCAAACACAAATCTAAACTATAATGGTTTCCTTACTGCTGCTCCTGTTGGCCCCACAGGTCCTGGCTCACCAGGCGAWCCTTTTATTCCAGGAAAACCAATTCGTCCTGCGTTTCCGCGATCACCTTTGGTACCAGGTATTCCAGGAGTTCCTTTAATTCCTACTTGACCAGATTCTCCTTTAAATCCTGGTGGTCCTTGAAGTCCAATCTCTCCTCTAAGACCTGGATAGCCGGGATCACCGGGTTCACCTTTRACGCCTTTTAAACCTGGTGGACCTTGAATAATTGAAATAGTTATCATTAATGCATCACTCTCCCTATATAATTGACCRCATTGGATAACTTGGTGAACTGATCACACGCAAAAGAATTGAAGACGTGGCTACAGGCAAACCATGGATAATGCTCTCTTAAGTAATGACGACATAACACGTTTTAAAGTGATAGATAGATAGACTAAAATCAACATTTAAACAAATTCAGCGCAGTATCTCTTTGAAAGTTGGACTTAATTCACATCTTAAAAGCATTTTTATAATGCTCCTTCTACGTCTCTTCACCCTCTGGCGACAATAATCCTTATTGTCAAAACAATAGCATGTATTTATGGAACGTCAGTATGGAATATGACGTTTACACTATCAATGAAATAGATAAAATGAAGCAAATCCGATATGTCAACCACAAGATTCCTTTCAATTTGTTTTCCAGATCAAATTTTATATCCTTTTCATTYGTAATGAAACGATGTCGATTTACAATACCTGGAAATGGTGGGCTGATCGGTGCAGGGATACCAGGTTCACCAATCTCGCCTTTCTGTCCCTTTTCACCACTTTCGCCTTTCAAACCATCTCGTCCAGATTGTCCAGTAAGCCCAGTGACACCCTTGGGTCCGGGGGGACACGAACATGTAGAGTGACCATTTGTTATACTGCCATCACCCGGTGGCCCTGGAGGACCAGGTGGTCCAGTGACTGACTCYCCTTTATCTCCCTGTGGAATAGTTGATAACATTTACAGCTTGTATTCATTTGGGTCATAGTCTTTAAAACAAGACATACCTTGATTCCTATGGATCCAGGGGGCCCTTCAGATCCCTTAAAAAAGAAAAGCAACAATATACATAATGATCAATATTGATGATTGCTGATTTATCGACCTTGATATTGAACAACGGTAATAAGTCAAATGTCAAACATGATTGTTTTATTATAGAATTCATGAAGGCACACTGACCTTTTCCCCTTTGGGAGCGCCAGGATCACCTTTCTCGCCCTGGAAGAGATAGATAGACCATTTATTCAATAAACCACTTCGCAGTCTACGACTGAATYACATTTATGTACAAAATAGAAAGAGACACATTTCATTTCAAATGTTWRCGTAAATAATCGGAAACAGCCGTTTACTGGACTGTGTATTATCGCTTAAACAAAGCGCGAATACAGCATCACAAACAAACKTCTCTTTTCACAAAGCACCTTTATTCCAACTGGACCAGGTTTTCCTTGAGGACCAGGTAACGACTGTCAAACAAAACAATAATTTTGTAACTWTTAATCCTGCGGCAATAACTCACATTTTAGTTATTTAGAAATGGTCAACATATCTTTACACTGAATCAAAGAGTTGATATATTTTCCAAGAAATAGGGGTGCATTTTATCCTRACTCCTGTCGAGGTACGAAGGGAATGGACGAGTTGTCTTAGCCTAYTTCAAACCCAAAAGATATATGTGCCTTGAATGCAATTCCCTCACTATTTAACAGAACCAGATATTCACCTAGGAAACCAGAGTTGCATACCTTTCCAGGAAGACCAATAAGACCTCGTTTTCCTTGAGGACCAGGACGACCATCTTGACCTTTCTCACCCTAACAAGACCCAAAATATTTGTTYTCTTGCCTTTTGCTACATTCTWATTTTTCTGWTGATTTGTTCTTAGTTTTCTACCATTTTTAAGTTTCGTGARAAGTCWTTTTACCTTTYGTCCATCACTCCCAGTAATACCTTTGTCACCTTTAAAACCTGTTTCTCCCTAYAATACAAACACGTTTTAGTCACCAAGAAAGGCCAAGGAAATGWAATACAGTCAATGCMATRAACGTTGCTCAGTTGTAAAGGCGTAAAGACAACAACAAAATCATTTATATATATCATACTTGTATCTTTTGCAAAATTATTCGACYTAATGTTCCAAAACTCTATGAAAATGTAAATAGCATTTAACTTGCAAGCATGATATGGAGTTTTAAATCAAAATCCTTTGCTGTGATTGAAAACAAATTTTATGGAAATGACTTCAGTTGTTGTATTTCTGTCTTTTTTTTTTTTTTTTTATTTAAAAGTGAACAACGTTAATGGAATTTACCGTAGTCACTGAAACAAACCAAAATACTTACTTTACTTCCATTAAAACCTTGTTGTCCCTTCTGTCCTTGAAGGATCCTTATGACCTGAAAACAAACGAAGCACAAATGCAGCTATGTTTTTCCTTTAACAAGGCTCGTACAGACATTTAAGAAATATTCGTCAGATTCAATATTTTGAATAATAACGGTTCCCTTTGATTCCAATCATTTGAACGAACTTTCCAAAGATARAAATAAGCGMTTCAACGGCTATTTCTTACAATTGAGCCATTTTATACCTTTTTATTTATATTAATTAACAATAAGCAATTCCTTTTTCGATTTTTCGATTTTTTCCAACTAATTTTGTGAAAAGATTGAGATTGAGATTGTAGAAAAAGAGTTTTAACAAATAAATTACTAGCATCAACCTCATCAACATTGCAGACACATTTATTCACTTTTATGAAATTGATAAACCAGAAAAGATGAGTACCTCGCCTGTGGTCATGTTGATATACGTTGCAGGAAGGCCAGGGGCACCAGGAGTGCCTGGAAGACCACTAGCCCCAGGTTGTCCACTTACGCCAGGTGGGCCAGGATTTCCTGGTTTTCCTGGCGGACCCACTATACTTTTTCCTGGCTCTCCCTTAGGTCCACGAATTTTCAACATCTGAATAAACAAGACAAAAATATTTAATAGAGCTTATGAAATATGAATATAACGTACAATTCATCAATTTATCTGTGAAAATTAACAAAAAATGAACTTACAACCGCCATATTGGATTAATAACAGAAACCATTGCTTTGCTATCCAACATGGCGGCTGTGACGTCACGTTCAACGCTTCGTGAACTGTTCAATGCGTCCTCATAATTATCATACATGTTGTGATGTTGAACCATAGTTATAGTATAAATGTACTCATTCATTCAGATATTTATTCATATTTATGCATACGTACTGATGAGCAGTTCGTCGAGCAAGATCCAGGCTCACCCTGCAACAGATCAATCAGCTATTCACCACAAAACAAACAAAAAGAAATGTGGAATTTGCAAGCTTTAAACACTATACAGACCTTTGATCCTTTGACTAGATGTACTGTGCCATTATTAGAAGACAAATAAACGGTTTGTCCAGGAAGACCAGGTAGACCAATGCTTCCACGGTCACCTTTTTCACCTTTTGGACACTAATTATTAAAACAAGTAAATGAAAAAAAAAAAGAAATTGATGACTTTTTCATGTAACTATTAAACTTAACCAGAATACAATAGAGTCCGATACACAAGAAAGGCACAGATTTTTTTTCTGGTCGAAAACCTAGGAAATTCTTGTCTGAACCTATACTTACAGTTACTGCACATGAAGGAGCAGTTGAAATTGGTTTGACTGTCGTCGCAGCGGCACCTATACCTATTTATATAGTACAGTATAAAATAATATTAATAACAATCAATAAAACATTTAATAACATTGACATACAACGGTCATTTGTCCAACCTCTGACCGCTAACAAATAATATCATATTTTGTGCGTCATGAGTAATCTTATTTGATTTTCGCTTCCTTTCCAGCTGAATAAGATTACAAATCAAATCGATTACACATCGGAAGACCGATCGACAACCCATTTTTCCGGACATTGATATAAACACAATGAGCACCAATAACAGCGCGCTTTGCATATCAAACGTTTCAATATAGATAATGACAGGGTACATACCTTGACCAGTTATTACTTCTAATGCTGGACTTGGAATACCATTGCCGTTGGTTGTTAAAGCGAACACTCGAATGCGGTACTTCACGTTTGGTTTCAGATTCTTTACAGACACGTTGGTGCAGTTGCAAGAGGCTGTGTTCCATTTTTTGGAGTTAGCGGCTCTGTAATATACTTTATAACCAAGAAGAGATYCATGTCTTGAGTTTAGTGCGATAGGCTCCCATAGAACTTTAGCAACGGTCGGACTGATGCTATGTACTTGTACACCAATTGGAGCACTGGGAACTTAAAATCAATCAAAAAATTAATATATCCATCAAGCAATAAATCGGGTAATGAATCAAGCAAGAAAGCAAGTGATAGACAAATAAAGAACTCAATAATTAATAATCAATAATTAATACTAACTGTAAAAATTGTCTTTTGTGCTCTTGTTAATTAAATATTAATTCATGACTAATTACTAATTACTAGTACTATTTGTATGGGTACTTATAGGTGGGGACTGCATTCTAGTATATATTATCTTTTTATATATTATAACTAGCTTAGATAGGTGTCCCCAATTAGCCTTACTATTGTAAGCTAGAACAATCTGACACGTTAATAAAGTTTATTATTATGTGAGCCATCAATCAATCTATCCATCAATCAAAACATCAATC